CACCCCCACCCCCTTAGGTTTGATAAGGTATTATATTAGCGTGTCCGTCTTGAATGTTCGTTGCAAATGAAACATATCGGCTTAAAAAATTTCTGGGGAGAACCCTGTATAACTAGTCAAATTTGTAAATTTATATTGTTTAACTCATTCACCCCTGACATTTTATAATGAACTATTCCAACCTTTGAATTGGAAGAGTTCAAATGTGTCTTGAGGGTTGAATGGCTGAACAGATCTTTCTAGTCTGCTGTATTAGGATATTTAAACACATTTTTAATTGACCTTGATTTGGACATTTGAACACAGCATAGTTTGTCAATGATTGAGGTTGAAATGGGGAACTGAGGAACCTTTCCTCCCGACACTAAATTATTTCTTGTGAAAAGATTCATGAAGCACAACCATAAAGTGTTTCTATGTGAAATTTCGATGACATGTACCTAATGTACTTGGTCACCTTTATCTTAAACAAGTGAAGCGTATGCGCACAAAGGTGTAAAATATGTACGAGTTGTTCACAAATCGATGTCAATTCGGCCATGATTTGTGGACAACTCGTACATATTTTACACCTTTGTGTACATACACTTCACTGGTCATTTGTCTTATGAAGGTGCCATATCAAAACGTCGCATATAAAAACATTTTGGTTGTGCTTCATAAATCTTTTCACAATTCATACTTGCCAACCTGAATAAAATGTTTAAAAATAATTATTAAGTATGTCTTATTTTAATTTTTCAGGCAGAGCTGGAAAATCTATCAAATTTAGATTTATTTAACTGCGAAGTAACGGCATTAGATGACTATAAAGAAGAGATGTTTAAATTGTTACCTAATCTAAATTTCTTAGACGGATACGACAAGGAAGACCGAGAAGCTGATGAGGATGAAGACGAAGGTAAATACAGTGAATGTGTTAATCCTTTCACCCCTAGGTAGCTTGAGGTAACTCTACCATAGTCTACCATACAAGTGGTTAAGGCGTCTGACATTCTGCTACCAATAGCCCTCCACTGCTGGGTCGCGGGTTCAAGGCCTATGTGGGGCAGTCGCAACCAAAACCATATATTGATCTGGACAGGTCAAAGGGAGACAAGTGTTGTCCCATGTGAATGAATTCAAAATTGAATTAAAAAACCCACTCATGTTTAATTGGCAGTAATCCTATTTCAAGGGACATTCACTATGAAACACGTTTAAAACAAATGTTTACTAATTTATATTTGATTTTCTAGGTGTAGATGGTGAAGTGGAAGATGAAGAAGACGATGAGGAAGAAAATGAAGGTGGGTAAATTGGCCCATTGTGTAATTCTGGCAAAAAATGTCTTGAATGTTCTGATATATCAAACTTTTCCATCTACTGTATATCTTAGTCCTACAAAGATGTTCTAACGTGGCCAGCAGTGTAACATAATGTCTCCTGCGCTTAAATATTTTAACAAAAATTCAGATACGGCCTCGTTTAATGACATCATGCCTCGCTATTAAATGTCATATAACTTTTTCACATTAAACTATTTGAAACATGAATTTAGATTCATGTGATGATTCCAAGGTATCATTTGATGTTGTGAATTCAACTGATCAGGGTTAGACACTAACTTTTTTTGCTTGGTAGTCCACAGGACTAATTGAATAGATTATTAACTAGTCCTTCGTCACTGTAACTAGTCACATATGTCCTGATAAGGAAACATTGCGATCTACAGCACGAAACAGCAAAAGTAACCGACTGTAGGGGACTTGAAATAATTACTGCCATAAAAATATGGTGACGTTTTATGAAAATTTTGACAATAATCATGCAATATATCTTATTTTAAACTGTTTTCTAAATTTGAAAAAGAAATATTCATATTTTATAATCAAATTTTTCGCAAGTCCAAAGGACCAGTAAGGTTCGGTGATTCACTAGTCCTTGCTGAAATCTACTAGTACAGGACTATTATTAGTGCCGACCCCCGCTGATGTATGTAAATCATGTCTAACTGTTTTGTGACAGAAGATGAGGAAGAGGATGGAGAAGATGATGATGACGACGATGATGACGACGACGATGATGAAGACTTAGATGATGATGATGAAGTACAAGAAATTGATGACGAGGACGATGAAGATGAGGATGTCTCAGCACTTCAGATGTTACAGAAAGACAATATTGAAGTAAGTTCTGACAGGTTGCAGGGATTTTGTTTGCTCAGTTTTACAGCCGAATACAGACTGTTTACCCCCCTAGCTAAAAGTGCCTTAATTTCACAAAATGACAAAAGAATGGGGATATATTCCCAATTTCAATTAAAATCATGCAATATTTTCCCAATTCATAAAAGACCAGGCTGTTGTAAAATTTAGTTACAAAAACACTGGGTTGTGTCCGGCCATAAAACAGGATCTTGACCCTGCCTCTAGGTAACTTTAGTAGACTCTAACATGCATTTGTGGGGATAAGTCCATTATGGTCTACAGTGGTGAACATGTTAGGAAACTTGTATAGAGTAATGGAATCTTCCCCAATGCCATTAAAAAAATATCTAAGCAGCACTATTCGAGTCAAGATCACTCCTATATAAACCATATATAAATTATTTGTTAAAATACAATCATGCCATTGTATTAAATTCATACATTAAATACATATAGGATAAACCGCTCCTTCTCTCCCCTGTCTCCCTAATCTATTCCTTCAATCAATACTTTATCCCTTCTCATTTCCCCACCTTTTCTTCGTCTGCTAGATAACCGAACTACTCTGTAGTGAAGCGAACATAAAAGCATTTTATCCATTTGTTAAAATAAAATTTGTTGCCTACATACCTACCCTAAATTTTCCCACATGTTACAGGAAACATATATTTGTTGTCTGGCCTAACGTACGAATGAGAGAGAAACTACAGCCCCAGTGGTGGTATTTCTGATTGTCTAACCCTGAGGCTTGAGATCTCTCCAGCACTACCTTTATGTAGGAAATTGAATTATTTAAAGGCATTTGTTGTCCAAATTTGTAATTAATTTCACCCCTCGAGTCAAAAGCTGTCGTATCGTCAGAATTTTTTGTTCTCCTGACATGATTGTTCATTTTGACGTGCCATCTGTCGTTCCCTAAGGGGTGACAGAAATCTTGAATAAGTAGAATGGTAGACAATTCCGTGAAAGATTGTGGAAAAAACTCTTCATCCTGGCATTTTTGTGTCCTGGGCAGTTGAACATTTTCAACTTTTACTATAAAATTGTAGGTTTGGTTTTCAGAAATTTTAAAAATCTGCCAATAGCCTAGTGTTCTTAATAAAATCATTGTGCACCTTGAAGAATGTTCTTGGCTTGTGTTCAAACAAAATGGTCATCGAAAAAAAATTAACGGAGAGTCAATGTTGATAAAAAAAAAAAATGGTCGATATGTACAATTTCCCAAAAGAAAATTTAAACCCATTTAACTCATTCACCCTGGAAATTTCATAATGAACTATTCCAACCATTGAGGTGGAAGAGTTCAAATGTATCTTGAGTGGTGAATGAGTAAATTTATTTTGGTAGCTTTAGACTTTAGAGAATATTTCCAAATTATGAATGGAATGTTTTTGTTGCCAGGACGATTCAGAAGGAGACGACTTTGAACCAGGAGAGGTTGATGACGATGAAGATTTTGATGAAGATGAGGAAGAAGGTAAACATGACCACAACTACTCGATAATTTATTTGTTATTGTTTTGGGAATCTGTGACAAAGGATAAGGACCTTGAGAATATACCAATGTTTATGAAAGATTTATTATAGACGTTATGTGTCGTCACTTGTGTGGAATGCTTTGATTTTCACGAAACTTCAGTTTCAATGTGTCTATAGTATCAATTACTAGCTCAAGTTTGATATTGAATGAAATCCAAAAGTTTAGGTTTGTGAAAGCTTCTATGGTTCCTGTGTGATAATTAATTGTGAAGGATTTCTTAAACTTCATTCAGATTTTTAGTACCAATGCCCAACTTCTATTTGATTAACACTGAAATTTAATATTACTGCCAGAAAACATCTTTCAACTGATGGGTCCAATCTTTGAAGAAATTGTCAAATTTTGCTGAAACTTGCCTAGTATACTTCTTCCCCAAGTCCTAGACTAAAGCTCAGCTTGATTTATGTATATATATCTAATTAGGCTGCTGTATAGATCGAAGAAGCTTACATTGTGAATTAACTTATTTTAGTGGACTCAAATATTAGCGTAGTACCAAATTTTAACAGATCAACGCATTGATGAGTTGGCACACTGACAATATATGCAATTAGAAATTATATACAGAATCTTCAGTTAGCACTAAGGCTGCAATGATACATACAGAACACGACGATACGATACGTATCAGTCTGTCACAAAACATATAGTAACAGTAGATACATATATATGTTGCAAACTTTTAATGGACCTGGAAATAGACTTTATCCAAAATAGGTATGATTTTAAAGTTTCACACAATGCAAGTCGTTCCACGTGCATGCTGAGCTGGAGGTGTTGCTCGTCATGTTGTAATGGATTTGAGTAGACTAAATTCAGAAACGACCAAAATACGGAAAATAATGTGACCTCTCTAAAAGAATCTTGTGAATCGTACTGTATTCAAAATATTGCGATATATATCGCCGCAGCCTTATTTAGAGCAAATATAAAAAGTTAAAAATGCAAAAAGCGCTTGTTTTAATACCACTAAGTTATGTTTGTTTACGTAATCCAATGTTTTGTGCGTTATGCTTGGCTTTTCTAACCCCTTCTGTTTGTGTTTTAGGAGAAGTAGTCCCACAGGGCGTGAAGAGGAAACGAGACGACGAAGTGGAAGAGGAGGAGGACGACTAGTTGTTCATTTACGGGGGAAGAGGGGCTATCACTTCATTGTCATTTAAATATTCATTTCCATTTTCATCTGTAACTCCATCCAAAACATGGACCGAAGCTATGGACAAGGAGTCGACGTTCTCACATCATCATATTATGTATAATAATTGACTTCGTGTTGATGGGGACAGACTCGCTCGGAGGAGTTTCTGTACGGCTTGTAAGACTCGTATCTCCGGATAACTGGATCTACATAGGTCAAGGATTGTCTGTTCACGTTTCCCATACATCCAAAACTGAAATTCGTCTTACAGTGTTCTTAACCCTTTCAACACTGTAGACCATAATGGACTCGTCCATATCAATGCATGGTAGAGTCTACAAAAGTTACATTGGGGTGAAAGGGTTAAAATGGCAGGGTTTATAAAAATGTCTCAAATTGGTGTATAAAGGACTAATTCCTATCATTTAACTAAATGTTAATCCGTTGTAATGATTTTCCTGATGAAGAAAGGTTAACAAAACTAAAATTTAAAACTTTCCAATTAAGTTGAGGATGGATGGAGACTTGACAGAATTGGTCTATATGACTACTACTACTAGTGAGTCGGCATCCGATACACCTACAAAGTAATGCAGATACAGTGTGGACTTCTTTGTCGTGCCGTCAACATGGTAACTCCCGACTACTTATGAAGTTCGGGGAAATGAATGTGACTGAAATATAACACAGACTGAAGCTGTACCTGTGGAGTTTTCTTATAGAAAATGTTTGTAGATATAAGTGTTTCTTCTGTAAACAGATGCTATAAACTGTACCTGATGACGTATTCTGTTGGTTTTAATTGATTATTTCATTGTTTAACAGACTTTGTTGGTTGGATGGTAATAGCATCAAGCTTGTTTTTGTATAAATGGAGAAGTATTGAAGTTCTGAAACATTTTAGTGATGATTCCTGAAACAATGAACTACACAATTAGAACCTTGGTTGGTGATCTCGGAGGATTGTTTCTGTTAGGTTGAGAAGTGCCTGATACTCGGCTACGTGAATGCAGTCTAATTTCTATACAAAGAATAATTTCAATTTTCATGAATTTGTTATTTCTTAAAAATTAGGAAACTGGTCCGAACTCTACAGAATTCTACATGACAAAAGAGTTTTAACATTAAGTTTGGTTGACAGGTTTGTTTGTATGTATAACCTCTGATTGTTGTGTAAAGGATTTAAAATGGAAAGCATGTTTGATGGAAGGAAATTCATTTCTTGCACGAATCACCGTCATGAATGAAGAGAGACATCTAGCTGAGGGAACTTAACTCGACAAATGGTTCCGAACGTTTGCATTTAGCCACCAGATTTGTTCGAGTAAAAGTGTGTAGTACAGTCCTGTATTAATGATCAAAACCAATTATGACGTTAAATGCTGGTACTGATAAATGAAATGATAAAAATGTTATTCAATTTTGCATTAAAATTTTTCTTTGTGGTTTTATTTATTCAATTCAAATACTGTGAATATTCAAATTTTAACTTCAGAAGAGTTAATGATTTAAATAGATAACATTTTTTAAAAATACTTAAACACGTTTTTCTGTGTTTGATGCGAAGTAAACCTGTTAGTTGATATGTATTAGTTTTATGTTTTTCTTCTGACTGAGGTTTATACTTGATGCACCATATGAATTCTTCTGAAGGAAGATTATAGCCGAGCCCCGTGATCCAGCCACCCAGATTGGGGGCCTGTTTATGTACAAACTGATCCTTTTATTAGTTTAATATAACAATGATAAAGTCTGAAGATTATGGATCAGTGTTAACTCATTCACACCTGCAGACGCATTTGAACTCGTCCAATTCAAAGGTTGGAATAGTTCATTATGAAATTTCGGGGGTGAATGAGTTAATGCAGGGCTTGGAAGTCTTTGTCAAGGTTTACCTGCCAGAAGCAACATCAAATCACTAGCTTTGTTCATAAACTGGTCCAACTGTTTGGAATGCGATAAATGAAACCAGCCCTGGTGTTCTGCTATTAGCCAGGGTTTTAGAGAACGGCTCACTTTCTTTCTATCGGAACTGGTCCTAGCTAGCTGTTTCACCATCCAGCCATTTCAAGCCTAGAACAGATGCTGGACTACAAATTAGAAACACTAGATGAGGGTGTTAAAAAGATTGGATTGGTGAGGGCTTGAATAGATATGCATACTTGGAAATAAAAACCTGGTGTTCAGAATGCCACAAATGTATTGTAAATTCACGACTGTTGGGTCAGTTAACTCATTCACCCCTGAAGACACATTTGAACTCTTCCAGTTCAAAGGTTGGAATAGTTCATTATGAAATTTCAGGGATGAATGAGTTAACTTGTGAGAGGAGATGTAGAGCAGCCAAGATTGTCTTGGATGTCCAGATGTTGGTGCGAGATTTGTATCCTCTCGTGACAATATCCATACTCTTGGACCAATCGATTGTTTGGTCTTGTAAATAAATAGAATGCATCTTTATATGCAAATACAAGTGACGGTGATTTTGTCTTATTTTGTAAATGCACCATGTACAGTGGAATTTTGATTTCTAATTATTTCTTTGACAATACAGATACAGATATAATACAAACTTGCAAGTTGTATATTCCGTCTTTTCGTATTGCAGAGTTATCTGCTCTTGTGAGCAGGTATTGATTGTTACGTCATTTGTTTGTGAGAGTAACGTCATCAATTTTTGAGAAAATGGCGTAATTTTCTCGCACAAACCAATGACGCAACGATCAATACCTTCTCACAAGAGAAGATAACTGCGATATGCAAAGACGGAATATCAAATAAGATGATGTACAGTGGAATTTTGATTCCTAACCATTTTATTGACAATACAGATATCAAAACAAGAACAATGCACTATTTTTAATCAACATTCATCTGGAAAATTGTCAAAAATATACGAGCAGTTTAACTGCTGTCTTTTCTATTTTGAAATTAAAACTTTATTGAAACTCTTTCAAGCTTCCACTGTACTAACGTGTAACGGTCATGGTACTGTAAAATGCAATATTCGTTTACAAGATATGGGACCAGACGGGGTACCATGTCTTTACAGGGATCAAATGGTAAATAATGGGGTTCAGACTGAAAATCCCTTTCAAAGAAGGGTAGTTGCACGACAAGACTTTTAGGTCACCTGAGACAAAGTCTCGAGTGACCTATTGCGATCGCCTTTTGTCCGCCTTCGTCCATCGTGCGTCAATAAACAATTTACATTTTCGACTTCTTCTCCAAAACCCCTGAACCAATTTCAATGAAATTTTGCAGGGACCTTCCATGGACAAAGGTCAACAAAAATAGTGGCCGGTTAGTCCCAGGGGCCTGAGGGGCGCGGCCAAAAGGGGTCAAATTGACTAAAATTTCAAAAATCTTCCTTAAGACCCAGATATGGTAGAATCAGATGCTCTTCATAAATGGAAGGGTCTTAAGGTGCTTTACCGAAATTGTGAATTTCATGACCCTGGGGTCTCACGTTTTCCCCTGGGGAGGGGATAAACTTTACTAGTTTATATAGGGAAATCACATTTTGGACCAACATTTGTTTAATTTCCATTGGAAGTAATTCAATTTGGGTTAGCATTATTAGTATTAGGTAGCAGTTTGATAATAAGCACAAATTTATTATGGTTTATATTGCGAATGATACTTTGATTATAACATGTTAATAACTTGATTGGAAATATAACCTTGAGTTGACAGTTCGATACTATGAAAATTTTGAGCCAGCCCTACCCCCAAGGGCTGTAGGGTGGGGCTCAAAGGAGTCAGCTAAAATTTTCCTTGTTTAGAATCAGAGGTGCTAGTTTCGAATAAGTCTGAAATGTGTATGCTAGATATTGAATAAGTTGGTTTTATTGTTTTTTGTCACTGAATAATATTTCTGTTCATGTTAAAAACAAAATCAACTCTCTGTATAAATACATCAGGTGACCGTTAAGGCCCATGAGCCTCTTGTTTTTCTTTTGAAGATAATCCAAGGATACTTATGCCAGGAAAACTAGTCTAACATGATGCTAAGGAATCGGACACTGCCCAGAAAAGTGATCAACTGAACAAAGGCCATAACCCTGTATGTAACTCTTCATACCAATAGTATGCCAAGGGCCAACTGAGCTTATGCTGTGGTGCGGCGTCAATATTTTACTTTGAACAATTAATTCTGAATAACCAAGAGGCCCAGGCTGATGATATTTGGCCAGTAGCATGCTGGGATGAAGGACTACCAAGTTTGTTCAAATGAATGACCTTGACCCACTTTCAAGGTCACAGGGGTCAAATGTGGTAAAATCTTCAAACGACTTCTCAATAACCAATAGGCCAGTGGAACTGATATTAGGCCTGTACCATGCTGGGATGAAGGACTACCAAGTTTGTTCAAATGAATGACCGTGACCCACTTTCAAGGTCACAGGGGTCAAATGTCGTAAAATCTCCAAATGACTTCTTCTCGATAACCAAAAGGCCCAGGGTACTGATATTGGGCCTGTAGCATGCTGGGGTGAAGTACCACCAAGTTCGTTCAAATGAATGACCTTGACCCACTTTCAAGGTCACAGGGGTCAAATGTCGTAAAATCTCCAAATGACTTCTTCTCGATAACCAAAAGGCCCAGGGTACTGATATTGGGCCTGTAGTATGCTGGGATGAAGGACTACCAAGTTCGTTCAAATGAATGACATTGACCCACTTTCCAGGTCACAGGGGTCAAATGTCTTAGAATCTTCAAACAACTTCTTCTTAATAACCAAAAGGCCCAGGGTACTGATATTGGGCCTGTAAAATGCTGGGATAAAGGGCTACCAAGTTTGTTCAAATTAATGACCTTGACCCACTTTCAAGGTCACTGGGGTCAGACGTCTTTAAATTTTCAAACGACTTAATAACCAATAGGCCCAGGGTACTGAAATTGGGCCTGTAGCATGCTGGGATGAAGGACTACCAAGTTTGTTCAAATGAATGACCTTGACCACATTTCAAGGTCACATGGGTCAAATGTCATAAAATCTTCAAACCACTTCTCAACAAGAGGCCCAAGAGGGCCTGTATCGCTCACCTGAATATTTAAGCAGTCATAGCAAAATATTCTCATTAAATATTATATTGCACTAAAAAAAAATCCCTCGCAAACTTTCTTGGCTCCATCTGTTGAAACTACCAGCAAAATATTATTATAAGATTCTATGCTTTTTGATTCTTCTTCAGAAGTTGCTTGACATATTTTTCCCTGTGATCTTGTAAGTAGGTCAATGTCATTTTCCTTCTCAAATTGGTTAGCTCTATTCCAAAAAGCTACCAGCCAAATCTTATGAATCCATTCCTTTTAGTTCTCAAGAACAAATCCATTAAAATGTTGTTGACCTCTGTGACCTCTAAAGTAGGTTGAGGTCATTTTCATTTGCAAACTTTGGTGAGCTCTATCCCGGGAAGTCACCAGCCAAATATTATAATTTTATGCCTTTTAATTCTTCAGAAGAAGCTGTTTGAACTGTTTGACATATTTGAACGCTGTGACCTTGAAAGTAGGTCAAGGTCATTTTCATTCGCAAACTTTGTTTGGCTCTTTCCCAGGAAGCCACCTGCCAAATATTAAGATTTTATAACTACCAGTTCTTCAGAAGAAGTCGTTTAAAGTGTTTGACATATCTGCCTCATGTGACCTTAAAAGAAGGTCAAGGTCATTTTCATTCTCAAACTTTGTTCGGCTCTTTCCTAGGAAGCTACAAGCCAAATATAGAGATTATATACCTTTCAGTTCTTCAGAAGAAGTCGTTTGAAGTGTCTGACACATTTGACTCCTGTGACCTTGAAAGAAGGTCAAGGTCATTTTCATTCTCAAACTTTGTCGGGCTCTATCCAAGGAAGCCATCAATCAAAAATAAAGATTCTATACCTTTCAGTTCTTCAGAAGAAGTCATTTGAAGCTTTTGACATATATGACCCCTGTGACCTTGAAAGTAGGTCAAACTAGTTTTCATTCTCAAACTTTGTTGGGCTCTATCCCAGGAAGCCACCAGCCAAATATAAAGATTATATACCTTTCAGTTCTTCAGAAGAAGTCGTTTGAAGTGTTTGACACATTTGACCCCTGTGACCTTGAAAGAAGGTCAAGGTAATTTTCATTCTCAAACTTTGTTGGGCTCCATCCAAGGAAGCCATCAGCCAAATATGAAGATTCTATACCTTTTAATTCTTCAGAAGAAGTCGTTTGAAGTTTTTGACATATTTGACCCCTGTGACCTTGAAAGTAGGTCAAACTAATTTTCATTCTCAAACTTTGTTGGTCTCTATCCCAGGAAGCCACCAGCCAAATATAAAGATTCTATACCTTTCAGTTCTTCAGAAGAAGTCGTTTGAAGTGTTTGACACATTTGACCCCTGTGACCTTGAAAGTAGGTCAAGGTCATTTTCATTCTCAAACTTTGTTGGGCTCTATCCAAGGAAGCCATCAGCCAAATATGAAGATTCTATACCTATTAGTTCTTTAGAAGAAGTCGTTTGAAGTTTTTGACATATTTGACCCCTGTGACCTTGAAAACAGGTCAAGGTCATTTTCGTTCTCAAACTTTGTAGGGCTCCTACCAAGGAAGCTTTCAGCCAAATATCATGACTCTAGGCCTGTCCGTTCTTCAGAAGAAGTTGTTTAAAGGAAAAGTTGACGGACGAGGACGGACGGACGGACAAACGGACGACGGACGCCGCGCCACGGCATAAGCTCACTTGGCACTTCCTGCCAGGTGAGCTAATAACCAAAAGGCCCAGGGTACTGATATTAGGCCTGTATCATGCTGGGATGAAGGACTACCAAGTTTGTTAAAATGAATGACCTTGACTCACTTTCAACCTAATGTCCTTGTACGACATTCAAGGTCACAGGCGTCATAATTAAGTCTTTTAATTGATTCTTATGAATCAAACACTGATATTCTGCCTGTAGTTGTATTTTAATCCACTTTTAAGATTACAAGTGTGATATTAATACCAGGTGAGTGATGCAGGCCCATTGGGCCTCTTGTTGTTCATTTCCTGATTTTAAATATTCCCTAAACAATTGGCTGTATAATTACTGAAATAAGTATTGGAGAAGTGATTTACATTGCTTCCAAATTACAACCAAAGATTTTCCCAGTCTTCCATTAATGTTGCTGAGGCCTTTGTGACACTGACTTGTACTTATCCAGCAAACTGGAGAATTGAGTCCAGGGGCCTGTTCGGTTATGCGGAACAACCGGTACGTCTGTTTTTAAATGTAACATTTTCGGGTATAAATACTGGCGGACTCGTAAAAGTTTATGCAGGCCTTGTAAGGCTTTGTCAAGGCTCGTATGAAAGCCGCATCAGATTACTGGGTCCGACCTTATTTCATAAACAAACAACAGTGGTTTAATCGTTTGGACCGCGATAAACGAAAATTGCCTTGGTAATCTTTGTACTGCGGACTCAAAAAAATCTCCATACAACAGAATATTTGACCGTTTGGGAA